CGTGTCCCTATGGGGGGGGGGGGCAAAATAAAATTTTCTTCCCTAAATAAAAATTCTACCCTCCCATGAAATTTTCCTGTCACAAATTTCTAACATTGCAGTAGTGTAAAACTTCAGATGAGCATTTAGAAATACAGTTTTGACATCCAAAGAAATGGGGCAGACTAAGCTACTGGGAGAATGGGAATGTAAAAAATTTAAGAGTTCTAGGTGTGAACAATTTTCAAAGTGTCATTCGCTGCTATGCTCAAAATTTGGAGGCTGGAGGAGAATTTCATGAGAAGGAGGCAGAATTCTCCTTTGGAGAGGCAATGCCTTCATTTTTCTGCTCTCTATAGTTACACCTATGCCTTGAATTCAATTTCAGCCAAATTATGCCCCTCTCGTTGTTGTTGTTGTTGTTAGCTGCTCTTGAGTTGACTTCAACTAATGGCAGCCCTGTGGATGAGACATCTGCAAATCCCCTGTCCTCAACCTCTCTGCTCAGATCTTGCAGGCCCTGGCCTGTGTATTCTGTTTCTTCCTCGCTTCCTACTGTCTTCCACCTTTCCTGGAATCCTTGTCTTTTCTAATGATTCATTTTTCCTCATGATGTGGCCAAACTACAACAGCTTCAATTTAGTCATCTTGGTTCCAGAGAGAGTTCCAGCTTGATCTGTTCTAGAACCCATTTGCCTCTTCCATAGCCTTTTAAAAACACATCTCCAGAAAGAGTAATAATACTGGGCCTTCTCTTTCTCCCCATAGGTGCAGCTACACTGATGAAAAAGATCAACTTTGCCTTGCATTTTTCTGGTCCACACTGACTTCACAGTGACCCTGTTAATGCCACATACACACACACACAGTCGAATGACATTGGGATAACCAGCCACACATTTCTCCCTGGTGAACTGCTTTCCCCTCCCTTCCCTTCCCTTCCCAGCTCCCTTTATTATTAGAGCTCTAAGGTCATCTGAAGAGGCCCTTCTCTCTACCCCACTATCCTCTCAGGCTCATTTAGTGGAACAAGAGAGAGGGCCTTCTCAGTGGCTGCTCCAAGGCTCTGAAACAGAGAGGCCAGGATGACCCCAACTTTGCTCTCCTTTCAGTGGCATGTAAAAACATTTCCATGCTGTTAGGCCTTTTCATACTGACAAGGGTTGGCCTTTTAAATGCTGTGCAATTCAGATTTTAAAATTTTTGTATAGAGTTTTTAAAATATGTTTCACTGCTTTAACATGTTAAATGTTTTTAACTTTATAAATTGTTTAATTTTAAAAAATGTTATATTTATATTTATATTTATATATATTATCTCTCAGTCTGCCTGATGTCAATAGTAGGAAAGATTCTAGAGCAGATAATTAAACAGCTAGTCCATGAGCACTTGGAAAGGAATGCCGTGATTACTAAAAGTCAGCATATATTTCTTAGAAACAAGTCATGCCAGTCTAATCTTATCCCCTTTTTGGACAGAGTTACAAGTTTGGTTGATCAATGGAATGCTGTGGTTTTTAGTATGCTTTTAGTATGTACATTTTATGTGATTTTTATGTTGGACATAGACTTTTTAATTGTTTTGAATTTTATTGCAATTTTAAAGGTTTTATCTGTGAGCCACCTTGGATCTCTCTGGGGAGAAAGATGGGATATAAATGAAATAAATAAATTACAGAAATTACCATTTTATGGAAATATATTTATTTTTTCTCCATATCAGTTCCCAGCTGGATTTCCTTGATTTCAGCAAGCTTTTGACAAGGCCCCTCCATGATATTCTTATAGACAAGCTACAGGCTCCAGGGGTAGGCAACCCGTCCCCTTTAAGGGCTGAGGGACTTCAGCTCCCAGAAGCCTCAGCCATGTTGGCCAATAGTCCCATGTTGGCCAATAGCTCCTGGGATTCTGGGAGCTAAAGTCCCTTGGCCCTTAAAGGGGAAAGGTTGCCTACCCCTGAGCTAGACAGTGGGCTAGAGAGTGCTACTGTTAGGTGGATTTATAACTGGTTGAAGGACCAAACCCAAAGAGTTCTCACCAATGATTCCTCTTCATCCTGTAGAGAAGTGACTGTGAGATGCACAGGGCTCAGCCTTGGGGTCCACTGTTGTCTAGGGGACTGAATAGGAATTCAAAATGCCCTTAATTGATTGTAGAGCCATGGAAAAACTAACAAAATGAATTTCCACAAAAGAATAAATGGAAGATATTTACACTTTGTTGTTTTGGTGTACCTTCAAGTAATTTCCAACTTATAGTGACCATAAGGTGAATATATCATGGGGTTTTCTGAGGCTGAGAAAGTGTGACTCACTCAAGGTCAACCAGTGGGCTCCCATGGCTAATTGGGGAATCGAACCCCAGTCTCCAGAGTTGTAGTCCAACACTCAAACCACTATGACACTCTGGTTCTCTGTATTACATTTAAGCATGAAAGATGAATGACATCTGGCTTGACAACAGTACACATAAAAAGGATCTAGGAGTCTTATGACCATGACATAAATCAACAATGTGATGCAGCTGTCAAAACGCCAATGCAACTCTGGGCTGCATCAGTAGAAGTATAGTGTCCTTCTCAAGAGATGTAACAGCACCACTCTATTCAGCTTTGCTTGGCCATCTGTCAGGGATGCTTTGATTGGGAGTTCCTGCATGGCAGGGGGTTGGACTGGATGGCCCTTGTGGTCTCTTTCAACTCTATGATTCTATGATTCTATGATTCTATGACCTCAGTTGGTCACAGAATCCAGTTCTGGACACCACAGTTCAGAAAAGATGACAAGCTGGAATATGGTCAGAGGTGGGTGACCAAGATGGTAAAGGGTTTGGAAACCATGCTTAGGGAACTGGGAATGTTTACCTTGCAGAAGAGAAGACTGAGAGGTGACATAATGGCAATTTTTAAAATATTTTAAGGGATGCTATGTTGAAGATGGAGCAAGCTTATTTCAGCTGTTCTGGAGACTAGAACATGAACAAATGGATTCAAATCATTAGGAAAAACTCCCTGATGGTAAGAGTTGATCCACAGGGGGTGGTAGTCTCTCTCTCTCTCTCTCTCTCTCTCTCTCTCTTTTTTTTTTTTGGAGGTTTTTAAACAGAGGTTGTATAACTATCTCTTGGGAGTACTTTCATGGTATTCTTTCATGGCAGTGATTGGATTAGATGGCTCTTGTGGTTCCTTCCATCTCTATGATTCTATGGGGTGAAGCAGATCAGTGGTTTGGAGTGGCTTCTGGCTGCTCCAGCCCTGGTCAGCCTCTCATTGGCCCAGGACCACTGTGACCAGATGCCACAGTCCCAAAGCCAGCTGCTGCCTCAGTCTTCAATGAGTTGCCACCAAAGAGTGGCTTTCTGCTACTCTTTTTCTGGCTGGCTTTGGGCCACCTGAGGCAGTCTCAGTCCAGCCACATTGGGGGCATACATCATCTGCATGCCACACCCTTGAAGCAGCTGGAAGCCGCACTTATGATTACTAAGGGCCTAAGCAGACTGCCAGAAATAGTGCACATTAAATTGAGGCACTGCCCTGGCTCAGGGCTAAGGAGTCATGGGAACTGTAATTTATTGTGGCACCAGAGCTTTCTGACAGAGAAGGCTCAATGTCTCAGAAAAAAATACAATTCCCATGATTCCCTAGCACTGAGTGTTGGGGAGGAGGAAGAGTGAGCAGAAATGAGTAGATGAATGCCTATAGGCTGACAATCTTAGATGGCAAGGAAGTAATAGATTAGACAAGACTAGAGGAAACATACCAAACAGTAGTAACTACTTCTCTCTCTCTCTCTCTCCTGCCTCCTGTAGGCATATAGTTGTAGGCTTGGCCTACAACTAGGCTTGGCCAACTCCTGTAGGCTTGGCCACTTTATGATTCACACCAATAGAGGCCATTGGTCTTTTCCAACATTGTGTTTCTTTAATTCCTCTTTTCACCAAATGGGAAAAAAAGTAATTTGGTGCCTACTAATTTTAAATCTAAATGTACTGGAGAGAAACAAGTGCATCCAGATTGTAAATGTAATTTTCAAACTGTAAATATACCCATTTTAAAAAAGAAAAGAAAACAGCAAGGATCCAATCTCCTCCACTTTTTGTGCTGTGTCTTTGTTAGGAGTATAGCTAAAGGAGAGCAAAATAAGGGTGTTGTCACTCCAATTAAAATTCTGCCCCCTAATGAAATTTCCCTTTACTCCCCATTTGCAGCATTGCAGTAACTTAAAACTTCAGTTGAAAAGTTAGAAATACAATTTAGGCAACAACAACAACAAAAAAAAAGAGTCAGACAAAGTTACAAAAAGAATGTGAACACAACAAATATAAGAGTTCAAGGTGTGGGCAGTTTTTAATGTCTTGCTCTCTGCAATTTGAGGACTAGAAGAAATTTTCATTTGTGAAGGCACAATTCTTATTTGGGAGGTGCATGCCCTCATTTTGCCACCACCTCAATAGCTGTACCCAGTCTATGGTCCTTTTGTCTAAAAAAAATCTAGGGATTGTAGAGCAATGACCTTTTTGGATATAGTGTTAGTGATATCTGTTCATGTGTTTTGAAAACTGTACAATGACTTGCACCTAGTTCCCCCTGAACAGATTTTTCATAGTATAGAGTTATAGTATTATAGAATGGGAAGAGACCACAAAGGACATCCAGTCTAACCTCCTGCCATGAAGGAATACAGTACATAATCAAAGTACCCCTGACAGATGGCCATCCAGCCTCTGTTTGAAAATTCCCAAAGGAGACTCCACTACACTCTGAGGCAGTGTATGCCATGTCAAACAGCTCTTACCATCAGAAAGTTCTTAATTAGGTGGAATCTCTTTCCCTGTAGTTTGAATTCATTGCTCTGTATCCAATCTGTTGAACAGTAGAAAGCAAACTTGCTCCATCTTCAATATGACCTCATTTCAAATATTTAAACACAGCTATCAAATCAAATTTAAGCCTTCCCTTCTCCAGGCTAATATACCCAGTTTCTGAAGCTGCTCCTCATAGGACATAGTTTTCAGACCGTTCACTATTGTGGTCATCCTCCTCTGGCCATGCTCCAGCATATCAACATCCTTTTTGAATTGTAGTGACCATTATTTTGAATTCTGATCCTTTCTTCTAGAAAATTACCTACATCTTCTAATTTGGTGTCATCTGCAAATTTGCTAAACATGACCTCTATTCCTTCAAGTAATTGATAAAGATATTGAATAGTACTGGGCCCAGGACAGAACCCTGTAGCAGCCCACTGGTCACTTTTCTCCAGGATGAAGATGAGCCATTGATGAGCCTTTGGGTTTGGTTGGTCAACCAATTACAAATCCATCTAACTGTTGCTTTGGCTAGCCCACATTTTACCAGCTTGTTTGCAAGAATATCATTGGGGACCTAGTCAAAGGCCTTAGTAAAATCAGGATATGCTACATCCACAGCATTTCCTTCATCTACCAAACTTTTAACTCTATCAAAAAAAAAAAAAAAAGAGAGAGAGAGATGAGATTAATCTGGCATGATTTGCTTTTGAGACACGCAATGTTGACTTATAGTGATCATGGCATTCCTTTTTAAGTGCTTACAGACTGTCTGTTTCATGATCTGCTCTGCAATATTTTGTGTTGCTGATGTTAGGCTGAGTAGGTGTTGGTTCCTTTCCCCCCTCCTTTTGAAGATCGGGACAACATTTATCCTTCTCCAGTCTATTGGGACTTCCTCCATTCTCCACGAATACTCACTTTTTTTGCCAGTGGTTCTGAGATTACTTCTGCCAGTTCTTTTAATACTCTTGGACTTAGTTCATCTGGCCCTGGTCAAGATGAAGACACACTTCACAGGTCTAATTACTGGTTTGCCAGGCCATAACAGAACATCTCAGTTCATCTTTGTTAGGGTATATTATGATCTAAGTTACTCTCAGGCCTTCATAATTTGTATGCCAGGTAAAACATGGTGGTTTTGTCTGGGCCTACTAGATAGTATTGGCTGTGTTATATCCTCTGGATTGGACTACTGCAGTCCACTCTATGGGGCTGCTTTTAAATGTGGTCCACAAACTCTGATGTATAGAACATGAGCTACTACTATACTAACAAAACCTATCTCATTTTCCTGATAGAACCATATCGTCTCTAGTCCTGGGCGCAAACTAACACACTGGAGATCACTTTGCTCTTTTGTTTGCTCTTTTTTTCATATATGAATTGCTTTAAACAGTGAGGCAATAATCTTTTCCTAACATTTGAATGCTATGAGATTACACCCCTGGATTTCTGATTTACTCTAGTTTTTCACATAGCACCTTGCATGCTGCTGGTACTGCATATAATAACTTAGCTTTGCATCTATATTATCTCGGGGGGGGGGGGGGATGTGCCAGCACAACTACCTTATGGACCAAATAATGAGTCATCTCATGGATAGTCTTTCAGCTGACTCATATGTGATGCAAGTGTTTAATGACCTTTTCAAGAGGGGAAGAAGAGACCAAACCAATACCTTTTTTTTTTCATTGCAGTCCCTACAAATCCAGTTGTTCTGAGTCATGACTCATACAAATGAAGAGATACCTAAAATCTTCCCTACACACACACACACACACACACACAGAGAGAGAGAGAGAGAGAGAGAGAGATTGAAGTCCTAAGGGCTAACAGAGCTTACCAAATGCAACTAGGGACCTTATCCCACGGGGCCAAAAGCAGCAAGAATCCATTAAGAATCAGGCGCTATAGCGCTATAGTTTTCCGGGTGATCCCACGACGTCGCTCGGAATCCGCTAAGAATCAGGCGCTATAGCGCTATAGTTTTCCGGGTGATCCCACGACGTCGCTCAGAATACAACAAGAAACCGCTCGGAATGCAGCATCATTCGGGTTCTTTTGTATGCCTGTTTTCATCGGGCATTGCAATATCGCTACCTTATCCATAGCGCTATTATAGCGCTAGCGCCATATTATACTAGCGCTATAGTACTGCAATGATGCTCATATCGGTTTCTTGCCACTTTTGAGAGCAGCGTGGGATAAGGTCCTTTGAGAAAACATATTTGCACAATTATAACAGAAAACAGACCCTCTTTTATGAACTAAGATGTATCATCTCCAGTAGCCATTTCAAATTCTTTGGAACAGGAGTGGGAAGTTCAGTTGTTTTGTGCTACAGCTCCCCTAATCTCTGACCATTGGCATGCTGGCAGGTGCTGAAGGGAGCTATAGTCCAAAGCATATGGAGGGCACTGGGTTCTTTTCCTTGTTCTACTAGACTGAACACTTACCCCTTAGAGCAGGGGTAGGCAACCTTTCCCCTTTAAGGGCCGAGGGACTTCAGCTCCCAGAATCTCAGGAGCTATTGGCCAAGATGGGACTATTGGCCAACATGGCTGAGGCTTCTGGGAGCTGAAGTCCCTCGGCCCTTAAAGG